GATTAGACGGCGACGGAGTTGACCTTTGGCCGTGAAGAGACGAGTTACGACAGTTGAGCAAGTTACAAACGACAACGGCGGGATTCCAGAGAAGGCCAGAGAATTAGAATGAATCTCAATTAGGGATGAAGCTCTCCCATCGATTGAGAGAAACAAAATAATAAAGGGATTTCTGATTGAGAAACAAATATGGGAAATTGAGGGAAACTGATGAAGAGATTCATGGTATTAGGATTGGAGAACTGGGGATTGTTGGGATTTTGAGTTACTTTCGTTCGTGTTCTTCTACGAAATTGATGAGGAAGAAGATGAAGATTCATGAAGAAGATGAAGATACGCGTTGTTAGTTTTTTTTTATCTAAATGTTTTATTATTTCTTTATTAATTAGTTATAGGGAGAAAATGTGGAAGTGGAATCGGTGTATGGTTGAAGGGCTATTCAGACATTATATATGTATAATGTGTGCCTCCAGCACAATGTGACCGAATGTGAAATTTATAAGTGGTATTGTGTCCTAGAGTGTAAAAAACTCTAAATTGAAAGCCTTTTATTCGCGTATCTAAATGACGGTGCTTGTGTATGGGTCATCTTCTTAATTATATATTTATATCATCCATTAGAACTTACTTAAATTTCTCCAACTATATTTGTAAATATTTTCTATTGACTCACGAGCACTAGAATTAAATATACTGTATTTTCTTTCATTAAAAGATGTACTTAATGTCAAATTAAATTGGATCGCTCAGAATCTCAACGTTTTAAATCCTTAATAAAAGATCTATGGACATTTAAATAGAACATAATCATGTCAATGTTATAAGATTGATTTTTAAGCTTTTTGAATTATATGCCTTTGGGTTTTTTTTCACCACGGAATGTGTTAAACTTTGATAAGCTGACCATAACAAATTAGTACGATAATTTACTATTCAGAAATTAAGGAAAATAACCAAAAAGAAATAGAAGAGTTGTTGGGTACGTTCGTCATTTTATTGTGGAGTAAGGAGTAGAAAAGAAGGCGTAATCGACACGGTATATTATTATAAGAAAAAGTAAAATATTGTTTTAAGTTATAATATAATTAGAGAGCTTTATAAAAAACAAATTGTTACTAGTAAGATGCACTAGTATATATGCTAATCTGCGGTTTGGACCCGTTTATTTCAAGTTAGGAACCACTCACATTTAGGGTTGGATACAAATCTATACTATTAAAAGAAGATCATATCTTTAAAATTTTGGATTATGTTATTGGGTTCATCATATTTATAAATAATACCATTTTTATTTTTAAAATTTTAATTAACTAAACAACTAGACATTTCCTATATATATGGTAACTGATAATTTTTCCTATTTTAATAATAATTTTATTTTTGAAAATTAAACTTTTTATTTAATTTTAGTATCATTTCCGTGTATAATATTATTTAGCGATTAAAAATTAAAAATTATTATTTACTATGTCATTTAATTCATAATATTGATATGTCAATTCAATTTTTTTTTATAAAATAAGTAAAAATGTAAATTTATCGTAGATAATTAATAATGAAAAAAACTAATATTGTTTTTTTGTATTACCATTGTTTCATTTTTTTTTTCAAATGACAAGAAAAATTTCATTAAAAATTACAAAAAATCAATTTTCTTTAATATTAAAGTATGAGTCATTTAATTAATTTTAAAAAGATATTATCAGTTTTATAGAATTTTAAGCGAATCAATGAATATCATATTGCAGAATAATAGCGAGTTATAGAATATTTACCGGGTTTTATCAAATTTTTAGGTAATAAAATTTTTATTATGGGATGCACTTGTTCAACTATGGATCTGGTTCAGATATAAAAAAAACTATGTGAAAACCAACATTATAATATAACATTTTGAAATATTAATAGATTAATTTTTTTAAAAAATTGTGTTTAAATAATTAATTTACATAAAATTTTATAAAATGATAAAAATATACCGCATTTTAAAAAATGGATCAAAATCTAGTACTCATTATTTTGATTTATACTCATATTTACCACGTTCTCATCTTGATATTTAAGTACTCATCGCTGTCAAATTGGATATAAGTAGTAGAATTAATATATTTTCAAGTACATAAGAAATAATAAGTACTAGAGCTGGACCCGTCCGACCGGACGGGTATTTATTTCATTTTTTATATAAATGAATATTATTTAAATGTTTTTCCGTTAATATTTTTAAATATTTATCATATTTTTAAATTTTTATAAACACAACAATCGAATAGTTTATGTGATGTAAAAATAGTGATTCGTGTCCATTATTAAACTTTTGAAAAATTAATATTGACCTATTGATAGTTTGAATAATATTTCTTGTAACATGAAATTGTTTGCCAAATGTAAAAAGAATTTAAATATTTTGATCAGATATGGATAATATGGTAAGATTTAGATACGTTATAAAAAAGAATATTTGGTTATAAACATTAAACATTGTTTTGTAAGTAACTCAATATTTCAATTTCAGTATTAAATTTTCTTGTTGTAAATAATTAATAGCAACCAAAATGGTAAAACATATATTTTAGAAATTCTTGAAAAATATATAATCTTAGGTGAGATTTAATTATATTAAAATAATATTCAGTTACAAATAGTTCATGTTGTTTATAAGTAGTTTAAATATATTTAAAATCTTATTGTTTAAAATAATTAATGCTAAGTTAAACATATATTTTAGGAATATTCATAGTATTTTTTTTAATTTCCAATTTAGACTTGAATTTTGTTCAAAATAATTAATGGTAACGTTATACAAATTTAATATTGTTAAAATCGATTTTAAATATGAATATTCCTAAAAATCAGCTATTTTATTTTAGGGAATATATTAAACACGAAAATTAAGCTATAACCGATTTAGGAAATTGTTTAATAAATAGGAAAAGACAATGATTACTTACATATAAGTTTATTTAATTACTTCAATGGCATACTATTGTAAATAAAAGTGAAAACTAAGGAATATTTTATATGGGTACTTCTCTTTTAATAATATAGATGGAAAAATAATTGTTGCTCAGTTTGTTATTACTTGCCAATTGCCTATAAAATATATTTTGTAGTTATTAAAAGTAAACAACACTCTTATATTGAAATATCATCTTTTTGATCAATTTTTCTTCTTTATAATATGCACAAATATTCAAGTTAGAATACTCTTGTCCTTTTTCTACATGAGTAGATAACTTTGTACCAATTTTTTTGGTTAGCTTGATTTGGATTTGAGTTGCAAACTTTAATTTGGATTGAGAAACTGGTTAGGGTTCCTAAATTAAAGTTTAATTTGGATTGAGAAACTGGGTTCAATTTAAAGGTAACAACGACGGGAAGCAATTGGGTAAATACCACTTAATGAAGTTTGGCAGAATCTACCAAGAAGCATTTTGCAGTATTCCATCATTTTTAATTGAACACAAGACAAGAGTGGGCTATATAGGTTGAGGACTGCACAGGGACATTGTCTTAAAACCATTCCTAACCATAATTAACAAGTAAAAAGAAAAAGAAAAGAATTTAGTCAAACTGGCTCTAGATATATTCCAGGGACAAAAATTGCAGACAATATTCGTACACAGTTCGAAAAAATTATTAAAATAAAGAAAATAAACACAGCCTTTGAGACTAAGCCAAGTTTTGACTCGTAAACTAGAAGAAAACGAAGTTATAAAGGGGTAAAATGGTCCCAAAAAATTGATTTCAGGCGCAAAAAATCTACTGCAAGTCTGCATCATGTGGAAAACCTTATGCTAGGAGCAGTGTAAGAGCAATGATACTGACCCGTCAGTATTGAGCCACGTAAGCAGAAAGGTGGCGATTGTCTGTGGTAATGTCCACTTCATACGTGCACGTGGGTTTTGACGCGGTTTGTTAGACCGGTTTGACCGTTTGAAAGACTTTAACGTCAAGAAGAGTTCTCTCTCACTTTTCTGGTACAGATCCCTTTATTTTATACTCCTAATAAAACAACACGAATAATTTATTTTAGTCCGGTAAAATTCCAAAATGTGTGCGTTATTAAATTTGAACGGTCTAGGACTGGAATAATTTTTTTTGGTTGTTTTGTTTAAAATTAAGTTAATCTTTTTTTCCGACATAAGGTAGTGAAACTATATTCATATAGAACTGGTGCAAAAAAAAAAATCTGAAAACATCTTCTTTAACCCCAAGCGTGCAAACCGCTGTTTTTAGGAGAATCAACAAAAACGCTTATCAATGTTTGAGTAATCAAACACTGTAAAAGAACTGATGCTTTTTTTCTGAGCCACACAATGATGGAGAGTTTAGCAAATCGGGTTTCACCAAGAATTTCATACGCATGCACTATGTTAAATATGCAAACTCAGTATGATACTTTCACAAGAACATATTGGAACACAGAAAGCCGAATTCCTAGCTTTTTTTTTTTTAACACAAACTTTGGGTTGGATAGGCTGCCATTTTTACACAAAACCCGCTAATGGGCCAAAGGTTATCTTTATTTGGGCTGAGCTTATTTTACTATCTTCTGTCTACTTTTAGCCCAACATTTGATGGCATTTCGAGAGCTTTTACAACATCAACAACATCAATAACATCTGACTTTTGTTGCTCCAGTCAGGAGTAATGGCAATCTACATCCATGAGTTTATGAATAATGAATGAATCTGTGTCAATTGTTGTTTCAAAGAAAAGAGGATGGGCACTTTGGTGTGAGTAGTTGCATAGAGGTATCAAAACACTTTCCTGTGAGATGGTTGCAAAGAAGATTGGCATCATGAAAGTAAAAAAAGCTTGAAAGATATCGACCATCTCTTGGGTACAAGAGACATACAACAATACATATCATATGCAGCGATCCGCTCAACAGATACAAAACGAGACCATGTATGTTTCAGCTCTAAGATAAAGCAAATGTGATTCTCAAGTTGTATGCAGCAAACAAAAAAAGCTAACCCAATGAAAGCATATCATCATCGTCTTCTGCTCCCTCGATAATCCTCCTCACCCTCTTTATCCTTCAATAAACCCAAGAAGGCGAGAAAACCAAAGAAGAAGAAGCCACCAGACCAGTTGCCTCCACCACCTCCTCCTCCACCTCCATCTCCATCATCTCTCGGTGGGAACCCGTCTCCTCCATCATCCAAGCTTGGTGATTTCTCCTTAGCTAAAATCCAACAAACCAAGACTCCTCTTTCAAAAATAATTCAAATCATAACATAAACAAGTATCCTGAATTTTACTTTCCTAAGAGTTGTAAGAAGTATCAACCGAAACTTCGTACTATCCCTCAATCTAGGGGAGATTTGGACAAAACAAAGGAACAAAAAGAGGAAACATGGCTTACAGTGGACAGGAGCTTGTGTTATTGTCGGAGACTCCCGAGTAACTGTCTGTGTTTGACCTTGACTTTCACTGCACTTCGCGTTCTGCAAGAGAGTTAACAAAGAAGAAAGAATATTATCAATTTGATTAATAACGAAACCCATCATAACAAGCACCAAACATCCAGATTATTACAAGAACTGAATCAAAAGAAACATGTGATTGTCGAGATATCTTACAGCAGCGGAGTTGCATATCAAAAGAGATCGCTTTCGACAACCCAATCCCAATCCCACCGCACTTAACGAGGAGACTCTTGTTCGCATTTCGATTCCTCCGACAATCCTCGAGCTACGAATCCGCATGTTCTCTACATCGAATTCATCAATCAACAACGAGTTTTATCAATCCCTCGATTAGGTTAACTATGAAATCTCACGGGGGAAAAAAATGGAAGCTAAGATGATAATAGGGAGGAGAAAGCTTACTGTTGATATTGATTGAGAGCGGAGGAGCTTGGAGGATAGACGGCGCCATAGCCATGGTTAGAGCAGCTTGAGACGGTAGACGAAGAGAGGTTGCAAGCAGCTTCCCCCTCAGATGATAGATACGCACGCACGCACGCGACTTTAGTTGTTGTCAACTTGCATCCAATAATGCGGCGCCACGTCATAACATTTTCTTCATATTTCATTTTTAGGTCCTCGCTTTATCGTAAATGTTTTATTTTTGTGATTAAACTAAGGGAACTAAGACCATGTACATCAATGGATTGGGGGATGGGGTTCATAAGTATAATTTTTTATTATTATTTTTTTGTTTGCTTTTTTTTAAAAAAAAAAAAAAAATACAATCGACTAATAGCGGGCCGCCACGTGGCGTGGGGCCCGCTGAATAGTCATGAAACAGGTTCAGAACGGAGGAGTGGTGAGAGGCAAGTTCATAGGTTGTGAATATTATAATATTTTTTTTTTTTGGGATATGTGTGAACCTTACCTTTGATACTTCAATGTACATGCCCTAATCTTTTCTATAGACAACCAAAAAAAAATAAGAAAATTGTTTTTTAGGCAAAAATACGTTAACTATGTCCGATTAAACTAATTTTATATATTTCATATTTCATTAGACTAAATATTTTCATAATGACAATAATTTCCATAATTTTTAATTAAAAATTCGAAATTATAAATTTAACAAAATAATAATTAAATATTAAAATATAATAAATAGTTAAAGTATTGTCAAAAAAATTAAAGTAATTAAAAGAAAAGAAAAATTTAAAAATAAGAGTGTTTTCAAAAAGCTAAAGTAAATAAAATATGTACATTTTTTTTTACTTTTTAAACTTTTTTTGAAAATCGATTTTTAATATATGGAAACTGAATATTTCCAAACTTTTTTGCCGTATTTTTTAAACTGATTGTTCTTATCCGCATAATAACAATAATAAAGTTTGAAATCAATTTCTAAAGGTTTTAAATTTATAATAATGTGGAGATTATGATTTCTACTGATTTTAGATTTATAAGTACGGTGTAGATTTCAATTTCTATTGATTTTAGAAGGATAAATTAATCTTGAAATTTGTATTCCAAATAATTTTGAATTAGTATCATATACGTAGAATATGTATTCTGGATGTAGTAAATTCACTGAAAAATGGATTTCATTTTCTACTTCGTAAAATGTCAATTCTACTTTATGTAGAACATAATCTGAAATTATGATTTAGACATTTTTAAAACTTGAAAAAATACCACTAAACTGATATAGGTATTTAATCAATGCTTACTATTTTTTCATTTTTTTTGTTTGTAACAAAATTAATTTAAATTATTTTCCGAAACACTAAAGGGTATTAGATGCAAAAAATGATACAAAATAGAAATTAGTCTAATGAAACATAATTACCAGTTTTTTTGCCTAAAACCCAAAATATTAAACGGTGTCATTTCTAAAATTTTATTAAAACTAAAAACGACTGCCATACACGCTAAAAACTAATGTTTATGGACCAATATGTATGTTTTGCATCCTCAGAAAAGAAACTAGGTTTCACAGTAATACATCCTCACCACTAATGGATCAAAGGCAAGATGAACATAGTGTGAGTCATGAGGATGAAGGTGACGACAATGTTTCTCCAGCATAGATCATAGATTTATTTAAAAGCATTGTTTCTTTCTCTTTAAGATATAATATCATCAATTTTGAAAGTCTACATCAGATTCGAGTTTATTTATATATCAAAGTTGTATGAGAAAATCATGTTGATGACACTTTTGATGGATATATACTTCATATTATATATGTTACTGTTAAAATGTATCTTACAGATAAACAAGTCACCATCACAGTAGAAAATGAAGTTGAAATTATAGGCGTGGCAGATGGTATAAACAAGATATTGAAGATTGCGATAGTAAAGAAAATACTTAGAAGTTTGAGATAATGTTTACAACAAAACATAGACAAATGTTGTGAATTTTTAATCAATCGACATTTTTAGCGCTTAAAAACAATGAAATCTAATATTCAAAAAAAAAAATCAAACATGCGACTCATAAATGTGTCACACTATCTGAGTAACCATTCCCCATCTTTTGTCAACAACTAATAACTTCTACTTTTATAGCAAATCCACAATCATTACATATGTACTATTTTTGTACTTGATAGCATCTATGATCTAAATGTGAGCTAAAATATCAAGGAATGAAATCATCCTCCAACAAGTATATACGTTAAAGGCAATAATAAGATCAACAACTCAACACTTGATGTGTTTATGTCTTAAATTCTCTATGTTTTTTGAAATCCTATCTCATCCAATTTAATATGTATTTTGTGTGTTTGGAGAGTAACTTTGGTTTCGAGCTTATTAGTGTTTATATGAAAATCTCTTAGAGCAACATGTCTAGGTGGTGGATCCAAATCATCATCCATATCAATGGAATACAAGAAAAAACTCGATTTAGCGAATAACATCTTGTAATAAATAAATAAATCTAAATGCACTATAATTAAAAAAAATTTAAGCCACATGCCAAATAAGATCAAACAAAACGAGAGCTTATGCTTAAAACTTTTAGTAACTGCTAACTGAACTAGGAAGCAAGATTGAGTCACATATGAATTTATATTATTTCTTTCGAGTAGTACTTTTATTTTTTGTCAACTCGAGTAATACTTTTATACTTTGTATTTTTTTGTAAATGTATCAATATGAACTGTAATAAAAGATATGTTCCATGAAATGGTTAGTCAAACAATGGGTCATTAGTAAACAATTATATAACCTGGTATTGGTTTCTTTAAATTCTAAATTAAATGTCATTAAAAAATTTCCTCAAACATAAGGGTGTGAGCCTGTTAGACTTTTAGCTAAAAGCCTAGACACGTATAAGTATAAACATGAAACAAATGAGTTACAAAAACATATATAGTTTGCGAGTTGTTTGATTGATTCATAAAAAATAAAACCAAAAAACGGTGTTCTCTTTCATGCTGTGAAATTCAATCGGAGCTCCAGAATCGTTGATTAGCAACATTGCCACGAAATTGCAAGTGTTCTTTTGGCCCAGTATGTGTATGAACTGTGAAGACCCAATATAAATCTGTAATAAAGAAATACTATTAAACATAATAAATTGATCAAAAGCATCAGCAACTTGCATGCATGAGGGGAAGATCGCTGGTGGAATATATATGAAGATGAGTTGTCAGACTGAGGAATCTGATGTAAGAATCAAAAATTACACCGATATCTGAATACTGACCATGATTCATTAGTCAAAAAATTACTGAAGGATGTGGTTGATGGTGTGAGATACTTGCACTAAAAAAACATAGTACATAGATATCTCAGGCATAAGACGATCATGTTCTGTTTGCAAAATGAAGAATTCAAGACAAAGATAGGAGATTTCAAACCAGACTCATACTCGGCTCAAGTAATTGTTGGACCAAGTGCTAATTTTTAAAAAATTTACTCAATAGAATTTGTAAATTAGTATTTTATTTACATGTATACATATGATTTTAACAAATTAGGACCTTTATTTCTTTAAGATTTTTGAAAAAAAAAGATGGACGCGTACGACCATCCTGTGATCATGATCATTTTAGCTGTAACTTGCATCCAATGTCGAGACGCCACGTCATAACATTTTCATCATATTTCATTTTAGGTCCGACAACAGAAAGATGAAACGGCGTCGCTCTGAGATTTTATTACAACCAGAAACGACACCCACACGCGCTAAAAACTAGCGCGTAGAGACGAACGTGTGTGTTTTGTATCCTCAGAAAAGAACCACCGTGGATCCCACCTCACTCCTCCTCCTCCTCATCTCCGCCATACCCACTCCTCCCTCCCCTCTCCCACAAACAAATAATACAACTGAGAGCAAAAGAAACAAACTATGGAAGAGATAACTAAAGATCCGCTTGTTCCGGCCGTGAAACCCGACCCGAGAACCTCTTCCTTAGGAGAAGGCCCCAACCGCCACGGAAACGAAGACGGTGGTTTAGAGATTGGAGCTCCGGATCTGGATAAGGACTTGTTATGTCCGATTTGTATGCAGGTTATAAAAGACGCTTTCCTCACGGCGTGTGGACATAGCTTCTGCTACATGTGTATTATTACACATCTTAGGAACAAGAGTGATTGTCCCTGTTGTAGCCAACACCTTACCAACAATCAGCTTTATCCTAACTTCTTACTCGATAAGGTCTCTCTTTTTTTTTTTAATCTTGCTTAGAGTCATAGAAGTGTTGTTTTTGTTGAACTTGTGATAGAAAATTGGTTAGAGAAACTGTTGTCTGAAATTGAGGTTTTTATATGACTTGTGTGTGTTTACTATCTGTGTGTGTAGCTGTTGAAGAAAACATCAGCTCGGCATGTGTCGAACACTGCGTCGCCTTTGGATCAGTTTCGGGACGCACTACAACGGGTCGGTTTTCTTGACAAACCTTTGTGACTAGTGTTCCTCTTTTAAGTTGGTTTTGTCAGATTAGTTATTGGAGTAAAAAAACAATTCTGTCGAAAGTCCTCTTTTTTAAATCAAATTTTGACTGTATGCTTTCTTCCTTAGACAGGGTTGTGATGTGTCAATTAAAGAGGTTGATAATCTGCTCACACTTCTTGCGGAAAAGAAGAGGAAAATGGAACAGGAAGAAGCTGAGAGGAATATGCAGATTCTGTTGGATTTCTTGCATTGTCTGAGGAAGCAGAAAGTTGATGAACTAAATGAGGTTAGTTTGTTTAGATATTATTGATAATTATTTTCCTGTTGATCTTAGAAATTTCTATTTTAGGGTCTCCAATGTGTTAGATGAATTAAAAGAAAAAAAAATTAGAATATTTGGAATCTTGCCTTTGATGTTGTTTATCACATCTTATTGTAGGTGCAAACTGATCTTCAGTACATTAAAGAGGACATAAGTGCAGTTGAGAGACATAGAATAGATTTATACCGTGCTCGGGATAGGTATTCTGTGAAGTTGCGGATGCTCGGAGATGATCCAAGCACACGGAATGCATGGCCCACTGAGAAGAGTCACAGTGGCTTCAACTCCAATTCTCTGAACATAAGAGGTGGGAATCCATTAGGCAATTTCCAAAACAAGAAGGCTGAGGGAAAGGCGCAAGGAAGCTCTCATGAAATGTCAAAAAAGGATGCACTGAGT